GCATGGCTGACTGGGGAATCCTGGGAGTTGAAGTCCACACAACTTAAAGTAGCCAAGGTTGAGAAACACTGGGTTAGGGTATCTAAATTCATTCATTTATCATATGAAATTAGAATATTTTAAAGGCTGCAGTGTGTATTGTTATGGTCTCAAGACAATATTTGTGCATGTGCTCATAGTCTCACTGGATTTCTTCATTGCATTAAGTTACAATAGGTGGCTTCTTCATTTGTGCCCTAGTGTGTCATGTGGATCCAGTTGTGGCTTGTAAGCTATTGCTTATGGCTTGGCATCTGTGTGAACCAGCCAGTTGTGGTTAAGTGTGTCATGGCTTGGCATAATGAATGAATCCATCCTCATAAATCTACCTGTGGTAGGTTTCTAGTCCTTTTTCTGTGCTTCAGCATATTTAGATTTTTTTTTCCATTTGGTAGAATTCATAGCCTGTCTTCAGCATTGTTTTGAAATTGCTATAATTTTTTAATAGTATCATCTAATTCTGCTGAAATTTATTTAAATTTTGAAGCTTGTCCCTCCTTCATCTTACTCTTTTAAAAAGTAAAATTACACTTTGTTCCCATACTTCACTCTTTAGAAAAAGTCTAGGAGTATTTTAATTTCTCCATCTCTTAACAAATGTTCAGAGATTTTTAAAATAAATATCTTACATGTCAGGTGAACTAAATATTTTTACAGCATTGTGTTTGAAGAAAGGAGCAGCTTTGTCAGTTTTTCATTTCTGTGGTCTTTATACATTAAGCCAGCTATATTTGAGAAAACATCTATTGTGAAATGTTTCAACCATGATTAGACTCAGTTAAATCTTCTCAGCTGGGTAAAATACACTGGGAATTTCATTAATGCAAGCCACTTTAGAATTAATTAATCAAACTACTACTAGAAAGCCTATATATAAGCAAAAAAAAATGATGTAAGACAGAAAATTTCTAGGCCAGGAATCCTCAGATTACAACCCCCTAAACTGATGCGATCCCTCTCCCATAAATAAAACTAACAATTTCATTGGGGTTAGCATTGGACAAGAAATATACCACTTTTAATCACTTATTTTTAATCTGCATCTCACAGTTCTCAACGTTTTGGTACTGCAACTACCCTCTGGGGCTTGCATGGGCAAAGCAACTTTTGACAGCGCTCCCAAGGGTGATTAGTAAACCCCCTTCCCTGGATTCCTCTTTTTTTTAATATATGTTTATTAAAAGTTTTTTTTAAAAAAGACAAAAACTAATACACACTAATAAGAAAAAAAAGAAAAAAGTCAAAGTTAAAAGTGCAAGAAAGGGAAAAAAGTAAAAGAAAAATAGAAAAGAAAAAAAAGATACAAAGAACTAGCTTCTGATCTTCTTTAAAGCAGTTATAAGTACAATTATACATGTATCTCTTTCTTCAAATTCACAACATCCCTCTCTTCTTTCTATAACCTATCCTTTCTAATCATCAAAACCATAAATCATAAGTTCATTTTTTTTACATATTCCATAAAAAAGTCTGTAAGGGGTTTCCACTCAGCAATAAAGGTAGATATGGTCTTTTCCCTTCCCTGGATTCCTGACTTACAGCTTGAGAACTGCAAATTTTGCCTTAGCTGTGAATTTGCTAATGGTCCCAGTCAGCTGTTATCTCTTAGCCAAAGTGGCTTTTTCTCATATCTGGAATGTCAGGATAAGAGTGACCTACCATATGCGGTGTTGTGATGATGATCAAATTAATAATTTACATAAAGGGTTTTAAACTCTTACCCGAAGTAACTATATAACTGATCAATATTTACTTCTGAATTCATTTTCATCTCTGACTTTGCATCTCCAATTAAAAAACATCAGGGGAAAATCTTTATACGCTCAGGAAGGTGGCATAATTCTGAATCTGTAAATCAAAAAGAAAAGTCTATAATCTACTATACATTTAGATTCAGAGATTCAGAATTTGGTCTGAGGAAGGCAACTCCCTCGATGAGAAGGACTTCTGCAGAAAAAAATGAACCCCAAAATGCCTTTCCATCAAGATCTCTATGAATTTTGTTTGCTAAAAGTTTTGTTAATGGGAGGGTGGTGATGGGTGGGTGGGAGGGAGAATTTTACACATTCAAGTTGAATTAAAGTTTCAAAATTAAGCACCTCATTAGCCCATTAACTTCCCTGTCCTGTTAGAGGGCGATGTTCAGGAGAAATTGTGCATAATATGAAAACATTTACATCAATCATTTCCAGTTTCACTTGTGATCTACTTAATATTACTTCTAACTGCAGAAACACATTCTCTTCAATTGTGTCGTTGTAGAAAGACAGTCGTGGTAGTCTACGGTAGCAAAAAGTCAGGAGTCCAATAGCACCTTTTCTGACTAACAAAGCCGCTCGTGAAAGCTTACGCCTTTTAATTAAATGTGTTAGTTGATGCTACCAGCTCCTCTTTCATTTAGTGTGTGTAAGAAAACAAGCAGATGCACTCCAAATGTGATTGAATTAATGAACCTGCACAAAATCTAAAATATTTCTTACGTAAGTTTTGAATCACCAGATGACTTATTTTGCTGAGAAAAGGATCCAACTTATATTGATTCAAATCAAGACTGAGTTTTTGAATTCCTATAATTCCTGAGAAGACATGCATATTGACTGGATACTCTGAGAGTTAAAATGCTTCAGTTTGCAGCTAAACGTCTTTTATATTAATAAGCAGCATAATTTAAAGACTTTGATGATGTGTGCACATGCACACTCATGCGCAATCATTATTCAAAACAAACCAAGTGCCCAGAATTGCCCTGTGAGAAGGAATCTTTCTTATACTATAGAGCAGTGTTTCTCAGCCTTGGCAGCTTGAAGATGTGTGGATTTCAGCTCCCAGAATTCCCTAGCCAGCATGCTGGTTGGATAATTCTGGGAGTTGAAGTCCACACATCTTCAAGTTCCCAAAGTTGAGAAACACTGCTGTAGAGAATGGTGTTGTTTAGTGGGAAAAAGTACAAATCTTCTTATTTTGTACATCAGCTGTGTTTCGTATTTATGATACTTGTTCTCAGAATTCAAGCCTTGCCGCTTTTTTTTTCTATGAAAAGCAAATGTTAACTGAATAAGCATGGTCCAACTAAGTTACACGCTTTTACAGCCCATTTTTCAGTGGGAGAATTAAGAATCTGCTTAAATTTTTCTCCCTGTGAATTTTAAAAGTCCTCAATATGGTTCAGAGATTGGGTCATTCTGTTTTTAAAAAATTATGTGTGCAAACTTTCACTACTTTTTTCAAATCTAGATAAAAATCCCATATGTAATGAGCATTTGATAAATTACGTTTTTCATCAACCCTGTCCCCATGAGGCCTTTTTAGAAGAGGGGAAGAGTCATGCTCTTTAAAATATATATATATATTGCTTTTCATGCTTCATAAAACTTTGATGTAAAAAAGATTGAATGTGTAAGTATTTGCCTATCATACTTCAATATGTGCTAAATGATGTTATATCTATGTGTATATTTTGCCCAATGAGATGTAGTTAGTTATTTTTTATCAGAACACCAGCTGTGCATTAACCACAGAGGAAATAAGAACCTATTTTTTACAATTTATGACAGATTTTAGACACTGGAAAATTTTTAAAATGTATATTTATTAAAGTTCAAAACACTGGAATTTGAGCACAGTTGAGAAAATGTAACAGTAAATTAAAGTTTTGGATTTGTTTGTATTTCTATGTCAACCATTTATTTCCCTTAAAATGATGGTGCCTTGTGAGTTTATTATTTACGTTTACACACTGTGGTTTTTTGTGAAATCAAAGCTATCTACAAAATGCTGTGAAAACCAAGAACAAAATGACACTAAAACAAGCTCCCTAAAAATAAAGAGCATTCTAGAAAAATAATTTTAATTCAGTGATTGAAAGATGCAATTCTGAACCTAAGACCATTAAACGGGGATTAATTTTAAGTAGACGTGACACGCCCAGGGATGTGTGCAGGGGGAGGGGTCCAAAAAGTCAAAGCGGAAGCCATGACTGTGCAACTGATTTATGTGCAATGCACATGAAAATCAGGCCCTTGGTGAAGGCTGCCATGGCAGAAAGACATCCTGGAATTGTACTTGGAAGCCAGTGGGGCCATCACAAGGTCAGCTTTTTTCAGCTGCTGACCCTGCTGTCTGCAGCTTTCAGCAGAGTTCAACAGCAGGTGCAAACAAAAAACATCTTTCCTCCCATGGCAGACATCGGTTTCTGAATCAACCGTTTTTCTTTTATTAGCTCTGTCATACTCGGGAGTCTCCAGGAAATAACAGGCATACTCAGATTAGTATTGTGTTTTTCTCTCCAAATGTACATTCTGGGTGCATCTTCCCAATTTAAATTTCAACAATACCCCATATTATTAGTGCACTTTCTTGGAATAATCCGTGAGGGATTGCCGCACGGTAAATATTTGGCTGCTTCTGCCCTCTCCAACACTTAGCAGCTGCCATTAATCTGAAACATTTGGAATCCATTTATTTATTTAAAATAAAACTTTATAGATTATTTTGCTGTATTCCTCCTAATCACCTCACAGGGAGAGAGAGGTAAAAAAGCCAAGACTTTTTAATAGAAAAAATCCTCTGCCTGACCCTGCTTAGTTTCTGAGCCCAAACAAGTGGGGATCTGTA